GGCAAATTTAGGTTGACAACATATACAACCACCATTTGTTGCCACAAATCTTAGTTCTTTCAACTTTTTTGCCGTACATTTCATGCAATATTTTAGCTCAATTTATAGCCTACCAATGCTTTCATGGTTGAAAAATTATTGTCACAGCTTTCACTTAAAGGCTTTCAAAATGTATTTGTTATTGACCCCCCCCCCCCCAGTGTTCATCACTGTTACAGGACAACCTCAGAGATATTGACAATTATAGGGGGGGGATTAAACTATGTACATCTTTCCATTCTATTTATCTGATAACTGTAGCTTGCTCACCACCAACCATGCAATAGTGCTTACTGCAACCTTTAATGCAACTTCTACTCCAGAACATTTGTCCTAAGTTTTCAATATATGCACAGCTGCAACACTTCACCTATTCAATTGAAGTGCTTTCGTAGCTCTCGTTTCTGTGAAACCCATGTCTGTCAGCTGTTTAAGATGATCCTGATTTACAAATTCCATTTTTTCTAAAACAAAAAATTGTAGACATGCTTATATATAGTTTACCAGAAAAGCAGCTCAGAAAACTCAGCCAAGAAAACAAGAACATAAAAGAGACATAAAGGTACCTGAAGTTGTTTGTTCGTCACCATCTTCTTCCTCATTGTCAAACTGTACAAGATGTGCAGCATCAATTAGAGTTATCAAAATTCTTTGTAACTCACGATTGAACTAAAAGAGATGAACAGAATCAGCACAGCAAATAGAACAGATGGCAGTATATAGACCTTGCCAAGTTTGGAAGAAAGGAATGTGTGACACATCAATTATGACTACAAAATTAAGATACGTGGAAATGTGCAACTTTCAGCATGTGTGTGGGTCTATGGGAGTTAAATTTACAAGTGTGACTCTTACCCCAAATGTGTGACACTCTTGGCAGGTCTAAATCAATTGGTTAACCCATTAAATTGCAGCATGCCCAAATGCCCCCTACATTTTACTCATCAAGGGTACTAGTGCTCAATGGATGCTTAGTAACCCATTAAGTTCCATTGTACCCTGTCTGTACACTGTGCTCAATGGGTAAAGTGAGAAAATCATGTTAAATCTTGTCACTATATGTGGTTGTATTTTTTGCTCTTATAAATGCTAACATGTCTGACATCATAACGCTTGTCATAACGCTACCAAAGATTAGATACTATAAAGATGTGTCACTCTGCGAAAATTATGTCCGAGGTTAAATAGTAAAATTCAACGCCATCAGTCTCGCCGCCATTTTGGCAGTAAGTGAAAATTACGGACACACAAACATTAGGGAAATACGTCGAGTGACACATCTTTATAGTATCTAATCTTTGACGCTACCGTGTTGCAACTGAAACCCATCAACAGACTTAGGAAATATTATCCACGTGCCGTACTTACATCAAAATGCAATGCAGAAGCACCAAAATCTGGAACTTTATTTCCTTGAACTTGTCCAGCCTCGGCCGTGAGTTTGTCGATTTGGGATGCATCTGGACCCCTTGCAGTAACTTCTTCCTGGAGGACAATTTATATAGAAAATTCAGAATATGCTAACTGTTGAAAATATGCCAACTGTTGTTCGCAACTAAAGCCTGTTTGATTGTGTGATATCAATCTTGTGCTGGCAACACAAAGGGTCTAATTTTGTTGCATTGTCAGTGCAAGAGAAGAAATCACACTTGACGTTTAATGGCAGCCACTCGGTTTGCACTTGACGTCATGGCGGCCATGTGTGGAACGCTAACATTTTAAGAATATCATTAGCCCCTTCCCAAAAGAGATCACAGTGCATTCTGGGATCGTTTGGAGGGACAAAGTATATGGTGATAGGCGTCAAATCATAGTTAATGGTCAAATACATGAAAGCTCAAAATCAACTTTTGAGACAGACGACAAAAAATGAAACATCTCCTTTTTACATTAAACATTTAATTTAAATGTGTGCTGCCATATTTCTTGTCCCTCCAAAACAGGATTTGTGCGACTAGACCCAGGAATTTGGGAAATGGCTAATTGGCAGTGATTGTATTTGGAGCGTGTTTTTCTTCAACATGGCGCCATATCTTTGCCTTATTAACCTCAAGGGAGTGATTGCAAACCACCAAATAGCGAGCAGCTTAATATGTTAATATGAAGTATTTTTTATAAATTAACTTAGTCTAATATTAACTTTATTAAATTAATCCTTTTAAGAATGGATTGGTTATTAAATATATATTAAATGGATTTAATGCATATTGTATGAAGTAAACTAGTTCTTACTTTACTTGGCTTTCTTGCTTTACGTCTTTTTACAAGTAATAACTCATCTACAACATCAAAACAAGTTAATAAATTGACATTGACATTATTTATATATACACATCAATTGTTAAAACCACTTAATAAAAGATACAAAAACAGCATAAATTTACTAAATCATTCACACAAACCATTCTCCTTTATTCCTTCTTCTGCAAGAGTTTTTTTCTCGTCTAAGATACGATTTGAGTTCATAGATAAAAGTTTATAATATACTCCATCTTTGGGATTCTCGCCAGAAATTTCTTCTTTCAAACATTGCACAGATTGACTCGGACATAAACACAATTCAAATTCCTTCCCTGTCGCATTTGTGACTTTAATATTCAGGTTACTACATGTATCTCCCCGAAACGCTCTCTTAAGTTCAACATCCCTCATGATATAAAATAAGAAAAACAAAAACTTGCGAAAATGAACGTTGTGTTTTGCTCTATTTTCAACTACGAATGATCTGCCCAAACGTCCGCGCTAATGTTTGCTGCTTCGGGAGACTAAGTCTGTGACTAAGTACTACAAATGTAAAAATATTTTAGAAGCAAATTTTGAAATAAAAATTTAATTATTTTACTCCAAATAAACGTAGCAGCATCTCCAAGTTCCACAAAAATATAGTTTTCCATAGTTTTCTCTGTATGCCTGAGAAAACCAAGTTGAATTTACCTTTTTACTTTTTTTAGCGTTGTAACTTGTATATTCCAATGTTTCGCTTTGCTGCTTGTTTACTTCCGGTAGTTGTTTTGCGGAAGTAACTAATTCAACGTCACTTCCGGTCTGAGTGTTGCCAATTTCAATGACAAAATGAATCATGAATAGAAATTTGTTTTCAATGTGATTTAAATAACATCTATAGTAAATATTTTAGTTTAAATGGCTACTGATCAAAGTGCAGAAGTCCCTGGAGCTATAAGGCTTATGGTCAAAGTATGGGGAGCCTTCTCAGCCCTTTGTAAGTGCAATTTTATAACACTGATTTTCTGATCATGTCAATATGTGAATATGTCATTGTTTTGAATTGAAAAATTATTATTTACCCCTTAAAAACGTCGTAAAGAAGTATATTTTGTTTGTAAGATACGTCTGATATGAGTTAGTGTGTTAAGTAACAAATAAAACGTATATTTTAGTCACTACATTTGCGAAAGGTTTGGGGTCAAAAAATAGCTTGTTTACAATTTGTATAAATATACGAGTGCAGCCGGCAAGTAATGTTGAAATAGCTCGTTATTAGATTTAATTAATGACTATTTCGTGGTTTTCTTAAATATATTGATGAAAGTTGTGGTGTACAAATTTCGGATGTAGCTGTTTTCAAAATCATAATTTCATTTAATTTGTATACTCTATTTCGTGGGATCATATTAAATGTGGGATTGAAAAGGCCACGTCTATAAAAGAGAATAAATTAGCATATTTAACGTTAGTATAGCATCATGCAAAGGACTAGTAAATTTGAACCCCAAATTTTTTCTCGATATTTTGATGTCTAGTAAATGCAGAAATAAAGAAAATAAATTTTAGTATGCATATCGAACAGGTTTACACATTGTTCCTTTACTATTACAGGTAGTTTATTCTATATTCATATAGTCAGAATTTTAAGAATTCCAAAGTATATTTAATAAATTAGCATGACATTCCAGTTAATGCAGGATGAATGAGAGCACAGCTAACCATACAAATTCTTGTGGGAAACGGTTAGTTTGCTGACCTCAGAATGACATTTCGTCAAAACTTTTTTCTTCAAGATTGGTTTAGAAACAAACTTGGAGTAGGGTTAGGTTAGGGTTGGGATTAGGATTATGGTTAGAGTTGGTGTTTGGAATAGGGTTAGTGTTAGTAAAACCGTTGCTTTGTTACGTTTTGTCACTCTGAGGCCAGCGAAATAACCTCTTCTGTTCTTGTGGGAACAAAGCCGGACTAGTTTGCATACTGTATGCATGGTGGTTCCGATCGAAATGGTCCATCTTGTGTGAAGGTAGCCACAGGCACACAAGGTCGAGGCCAAGTTACTAACAAGCCCCCAATATTTGATGTACATACCTTTTACTTCATTTTAGTGAGCATTGGTTTTGGTGTGTTTGTCATGATCACAGTTACTCCCATATGTCTAGCCGCTGGAGCTATTATGGTGTATGTTGAATAATTTGTGCTAGAGACAAATATTAAACGCTTGACATCAATTGGAAAAATACATAAAATTCGGTTAAAACTACAATCTTGGCCAAAAGCTTGTAGAACAACTGAAGGTTTCCTATTTTCTCTGAGTGGTCATGGGCTGCTCATACAGCGCGTGCCAAAATGGGGTCTGTTGTCACAATAATTGTCACACAAAACTGCCAAAACCATGAAAAATATTTTAAAATTTTTTTGTCCAACCTACATTACCTACCTTAATTTTCTCACGATATGAAACCGGAACCACAAGTATTTTTAGGCCCTATTGCAGCTACATAAAACAACACTGAATGGGGGGCCGGGGGGAGGTGATATATAAGGAGAAAAATGTCTGTCGTTCTGTGGTTTTTGGCCAAAATTGACTAGCTAGAATAGCACAGTTTAACTGGGAATAGTTCTGGGAATAAATCATGGCTGGTATTTTCCCAATAGTTCATCTAATGCTGTGTTTGTGAGCATAAACAGATAATTCATCAAGACTAATTATGGAGAAAATTTCTATACAGTTTAATACTTTCTATTTCAGTACCTCTGGCTTGATGGTGTTGACACTTGAAGCTCCTGTTTTATGTTTTAAAATTGAAGCATTTGCAAAATTAAGCAAATGGGTTGAAGACCATGTGCGATTCTGGATACGAGCATTTATTTATCTTTGGTAACAGATTGTTGAATTTAGTACATCTGTATTGTAGAGGACTGAATGTAATTGTGGTGTTTTTCACAAAACTAAATCATCAAATATTCATTTTCTCTTAACCTCTTTTGTTAGTTTTGCATTACTTCCATTTGTGATGTGCCGTGAATTGTCAACGTTTATTGGCAGTGGATCAGTAATGGTGACGGCAGCTTTATATGGAGTCATGGCAATTGGGAAAAAGTAAAATATCTTTATTCTTGAGACTTTTTCAATTGAAACCAAGCCACCTCAGCAGAAGGCTGCCTAAAGATAGACAATACTGCTGAGAAAGCTTTGGATTGATAGCGATACAACTACCCAAAATTTACAAGGAGAACTTAGACATTTCGAGCGAAGGTGCTTGTAAGGCTCTCCACAAGACTACTACATATAATGAAAAGATTATTTTCTCACTCTGATAACCGCAGGTTGACAACAATCTGTTGCATACTTAGTGCTTAGTGGAACTCATTTATATCTATGGTATGTTTTTGTATAGAGGTCAAGCAACAAGCCAATCCAAACCAAACGATGATGATGTAGAAATGAAAGAATCACTAGTGGACAGTAAAGGAGATCCCAAAGAACTAGGCTCACCTTCTTAGAGTTTAGAAAAATTGACAATTATTACTGGGAAACAAGTCACTGTAAAATATGTCGAAGTAGTCAGTGATTGTCATGGAAATAATTACCCTTGCTGTAAAATATGTAGAAAATGTAAGACACTTCATTATAAGTCTTAGATTGATCATGAAAATGTCCTTTTCTAACATGAAGAGTAAAATTTGCAATTTTTGTGATAACTGATGTCATTCTTACAAAATGCACCTTACAGTAGCTGCCTGCACTAGGTAATAATATACTACAGTGTCAAAAGACAAAAAGATAATTTATTTCAATTTAATTTATTGCATTCATTATGAGTGAAATTGGTATTACTTTATTGGATGGTATGTATCTTGTTTTAAATAAAAGAAACATGTTGTAAATAAAAATTATTTGATGTTTGAAAGAGTAAAATTTCAGTTTTTACTTTCCTGATCTATTTGTGTTGGTGGATATGGCAAAAACCAAAGACATTTCTTGTGAATTATACTATAACATCTTTATTATTAACTGATCAATCCATTCAATATATCATGGTTGTAACATTGCTTGTAAAAATCTAATTGGGAATAAATGCACAATCATACATCTCTGGCCAGATAAAGTATGAACTGCACTAACACCATACCATCAAGAGTCAATACATAAAATTATAGTCAGATTGGATGTTCCTACCGTAAATTAGAGTCTCGTTAGTTCAAATTGATTAAAACTATCCTTTCATCGCTTGGTCGAAAATCTCACGGCTCACTATCATTCTTTGAATTTGCGCAGTTCCTTCATAAATCTAAAAGATCAACAACATATTATGAAGTCTTGAGGTCTTCATTCTTGGATGAAAACATCTTTAAAATGTCATTCCAACACTCCCAATTTTCTCGGGACTCTACCAAAAATTCGATCGTGACTAAAACACCACACGAGTACATACGAGTAACATACGAGTAACACACAGGTACATACGAGTACATACGAGTAACACACGAGTACATACGAGTAACATACGAGTAACATACGAGTAACATACGAGTACATACGAGTAACATACGAGTAAAACACAAGTACATACGAGTACATACGAGTAGAATACGACTAGTAAACTTGTTTTTAGTGTTTGTAGATTGAATACAGGCAAAAAGATCGTCTTCTCTGTCGAAAAACATGAAATAGACTGAAACCGGCTATCTTTAAAACCCGGAATGGGGAGACGGGGAATGGGAGAACGGGAAGTGGGGGAACGGGGAACGGAGGGAATGGAGGGGCGAGGGGAGGAAATAGGAGACAGGGGGCGGTCTGCCAGATTCTATAAACCACAACTTTGTAGTTTGTACAACATCAACTTTTAGGTATTCTACCTAGATAGTTATATACATGACACAAACCATAGGCTTCACATATTTCACGGCATGGTTTGCTTTCAAAACCCTGTGAGCATGCACAAAACCTAACTCACTAACTGCATCTACTTAAAATAGTACTAGGTGATAAACTTACAATCCTCACATAGCCT